GACATAGAAGTATGGAACAGACTGAGGAATTTCAGAGGGAAGGCAGGGGTGAGGGTTGGGGAGTGATTAACCTGGAATCTTATATGCACATATGCATAGCCAATGCACACAAACAACAGTGTACTGAAGGCCTGGGAGGAGAAGATTTGGGGTGGAAGGGGTCAATGGGGGGAAAAACAAAGGGGACATCTGTAATACTTTCAGCAATAAAGATAAAATTTAAAAAAACAATATTAAAAGAATAGAGGGGTAGGTTTCATCATGCCCTGGTAACTGCATGTTTAGATTTGAGCTTTACAACCATTTTACAAGGTAAGGATGACTCCCCTCATTTCTTAGATGAGGAAATTGAGGCTCAGAGAGGTTATATGGCTTGCACAAGACTACACAGTAGGTTAAACGCATGGTTTTGGACTCTAACTCTCTCCATTGTTTCATGCTGCTTTATGTCATAACTATCCTTTGTAATTGGATTTTCCGATCAGTGGTTCATTCCTATCACATCCTTACACTTGACCTTATGACTAATCTGGTGCTTGAAAACTCATATTCACCCCACCGAGGAGTCAGAAAGAGCAGGCAAAGGGGGAATTTTATTTTTTTGAAAGTGATTTCTTAAAAATATATTTTTTTATTAATTTCAGAGAGGAAGGGAGAGGAAGAGAGAGATAGAAACATCAATGATGAGAATCATTGACTGGTGCCTCCTGCATGCCCCACACTGGGGATCGAGCCCACAACCCAGGCATGTGTCCTGACCAGGAATTTAACCATGAACTCCTGGTTCATAGGTCAATGCTCAACCTCTGAGCCATACCGGCTGGGCCTAATTTTAATGACATATATCTCTAGCCCTGTTCTCCTGTCACAGAAACAGAATTCTCTATCGTTGCTTGTTATCTTTAAATTCCAAAACAAAACAAAACTAAAACAATAGGAGATTCAATTGATGCTTTTAATTTAGCTTTAAGATCATGTACATCAAGCATGTCAAACTCGCAGCCCACAACAAATATTTTTGTGGCCTAGCCAATATAACGATATGTAAGAAATGTTTTAATAAAAATTTCATAACTTAATTTTTACAATATCCTGTTATACGACAGGGGGCAGCGCCCCAACCCCCTGATTGGCCCTGCTCTGAGAGTGACAGGGGGCAGCGCCCCAACCCCCTGATTGGCCCTGCTCTGAGAGTGACAGGGGGCAGCGCCCCAACCCCCTGATTGGCCCTGCTCTGAGAGTGACAGGGGGCAGCGCCCCAACCCCCTGATTGGCCCTGCTCTGAGAGTGACAGGGGGCAGCGCCCCAACCCCCTGATTGGCCCTGCTCTGAGAGTGACAGGGGGCAGCGCCCCAACCCCCTGATTGGCCCTGCTCTGAGAGTGACAGGGGGCAGCGCCCCAACCCCCTGATTGGCCCTGCTCTGAGAGTGACAGGGGGCAGCGCCCCAACCCCCTGATTGGCCCTGCTCTGAGAGTGACAGGGGGCAGCGCCCCAACCCCCTGATTGGCCCTGCTCTGAGAGTGACAGGGGGCAGCGCCCCAACCCCCTGATTGGCCCTGCTCTGAGAGTGACAGGGGGCAGCGCCCCAACCCCCTGATTGGCCCTGCTCTGAGAGTGACAGGGGGCAGCGCCCCAACCCCCTGATTGGCCCTGCTCTGAGAGTGACAGGGGGCAGCGCCCCAACCCCCTGATTGGCCCTGCTCTGAGAGTGACAGGGGGCAGCGCCCCAACCCCCTGATTGGCCCTGCTCTGAGAGTGACAGGGGGCAGCGCCCCAACCCCCTGATTGGCCCTGCTCTGAGAGTGACAGGGGGCAGCGCCCCAACCCCCTGATTGGCCCTGCTCTGAGAGTGACAGGGGGCAGCGCCCCAACCCCCTGATTGGCCCTGCTCTGAGAGTGACAGGGGGCAGCGCCCCAACCCCCTGATTGGCCCTGCTCTGAGAGTGACAGGGGGCAGCGCCCCAACCCCCTGATCGGCCCTGCTCTGTGCGTGACAGGGGGTGGCGCCGCAACCTCCCCATCGACCCTGCCTTGAGTGTGACAGGGGGCGGTGCCCCAACCCCCCAATTGGCCCTACCCTGAGCGTGACTGAGGGTGGCATTGCAACCTCCCGATCCGCCCTGCTCTGTGCATGATGGGGCGGCACCCCAACTCCCCAATCGGCCCTGCTCTGAGCCTGACCAGGGGCTGCACTTAGGGATTGGGCCTGCCCTCTGCCACCCGGGAGCAGGCCTAACCCAGCAGGTCGTTATCTGCCGAGGGGTCCCAGACTGCGAGAGGGCACAGGCCGGGCTGGGGGACCCCCCTCCCCCCGCCCCCCCCGAGTGCAAATTTTTGTGCACCGGGCCTTTAGTTATTAATAAGGAACTACAACAGTCGCTAATGACTGATTACTATAATCGTGTTGCATTCATTTCCCTCATGCGCTGGCGCACCATTTCTCTCCACTAACACTAGCAGCTAATATTTTAGCAGCCAATTGCCACATCATTAGTCTTGGACTGACTTGTTTGGTGTGCGCAACAGGAAATATTTCGCTTTCGGAAAACAAGAAAAATAGGTTTATTTGCATTATGTTTATTAATTTGTGCAGTTATTCAGTGTCTGGTAAGTTAATACTCAAGAAAAAGTATTAATTTTTATTAAAATATTCTATCATTTTATGTTAATGATTATTCTTTTATTTCAGCCCTTTGTATTCAGCATGTCTCTACCGAAATAAACCTACGTTTCTATGAAAATTGAAGCTTGTAGCTTTTGTTTTTTTTGCAACCCACATAAACTTAAACCTTGTTTATTTGGCCTGTGTTAGCCTTTGAGTTTGACATGCTTGATGTACATCCTTTCCATTTGTGGAAACTAGTAGAGGTTTTGAAGGTTGACAATGATTATGACACACCAACTCAGAGAGAAAGGAAGCTGTAGGCTGAAGTTAGGAATAAAGGGAGTTTGAGACTGTCTTATTCTAGCATAGTGGTTACCCACCTGTGTGGTCCAGACCTGGATTACTGGGTCTATGTGTAGTTGTATTATGTATTAAGGCAGGTTTTAAGCCTTTACAGATCAAACTATATTATATTGATCCATTCTAAGCTTGTCCTGCTTTTGTAGTTAGATTAACCTGACAGAGCCCACTTTTAATGTATATTTCCACAAAGTGTTCTTGAGGATGTGGAAGTCAGCACATGGGAGCCAATCCATTCTTTTGGCCAGATTGAGCCTGATGATAAAAGGAACCCAGGCTATGAAAGAGGCTTGGAGAAACATTTGCCCACTCTTTGTAGATGACCTCTTCTTCTCCTGTGAACTTGATGCCAGGGACACCCAACAGATCAGAACCCAAATGTACTCACAGCTTATGTATGTGAATGATTATTATGGGAGGAAAAAGTACCATGTGATGATTATTTTTTGCAAAGCAATTCAATAAGATCTCTATTTTCCAGCCTGAAGCTTCAAGATTGACAGAGCTATGTTGGAAATCCTTAAGGACAGCCTTCCACAGCCCTACCAAAAAGCCCAGTTTACCATGCAGTGTGAAGAGTTAGGATTGGGAATGTGGCCATGGCCAAAGGCAAATCCTTGGCAGATAGTCTGCAGCTTAGAAATGAGTCATGTCAGGCGATTCAGTAGAATGGAAATAGTTTAATCAAACCATATCATATTAATAAAAGTTAATGAGCATTTCTGACTCTATCAAATTGTCTAAAAGTCCAAGTATAGGCCAACAGGAGGGATAATTGGCCAGAAAGGGCTCCTGCTACTAATAGAGTACATCTGTCTGGACAGAGCTCACTGGGGTCCTCTTTCACCAGACTCAGCCACACCACACGTCCCAGCATTAGGTGTGCTCTCAGGGGAAGCTTAGGACAGTGCTGAGAGAAGACACTGAAAGACCACTCAGAGACCCTCATCAGACTTTATATTCCATAGGCCCACAGGTTATTTCATCTGTCTCTCTTCTTTTTAACTTATGAAATATTTGACATTCAAAAAGATATGAAAATCATGATGCACACCCATGTACTTACTATTCAATTTTAGAAATATTTTTACAAATGGTCTTCCTCCTCTCCTTTTCTGCTTTTTCCCTTCTCTCCCTTCCTTGCCTCTCCCCATTCTTATCATTGTACTGAATTTCTCATGTATTGTTGTTGTATTTTTATAGTTTTTGTACATATGTATGTATCCTTAAACATGTGGCAACTTGTATGTTTTTAAACCTTATATAAGTGAAATAAATATAGATGAGATAAACTATATAGAAATTAAGGGAATGATGAGCATGGGATTTGAGATGGAGTTTGCTTTGTCATCATAGATTTTGGATTGTGTAATGGGTTCACCAAAACTTAATACATTATTAAAAGTAGTTAATTAGCCTTGGCCAGTGTGGCTCACTTGGTTGGGCATTGTACTGTGCTGGTTCAATTCCAAGTCAGGGCACATGCCCAAGTTGCGAACTCAATCTCCAGTAGGGGGTATGCAGGAGACAGCCGATGTATGTTTCCCTCTCACATCAAGGTTTCTCTCTCTCTCCCTCTTCTTTCCTCTCTCTCTAACAATCAATAAAAATATTAAAAAAGTAATTAAGTAAATAAATATAGAAATAAGAGCACTATTCATAGACTAATGATGAGTGTCTCATAGATTGAGTTAGGATTAATCTAATTCTGTGCACTCAAGAGCAAAACAACTATGATAATAACAGATAAGCAATATACTATTTGTATATATGTACTTCTATTTTTCTCAGACAATAAGATTTGTAAGACTCATCCATGTCAATATATGAAGTTCTTTATTAATTTTTATCCCCATTTCTCCTTCCATACTAGGCCTTCTCCAAAAATCCCCACAACACTAAGATAATGTGCCCAAATTGAGACCAAAACAGCTCCCATTGGCAGTATTAGCATTCTGATGTGCCTATGTGCCAACTCTCTTGGTACCACTCTCTACATACCTTTAACAAAGTCTTCTCTTCTTCCCACCTAGGACCTGATTCGGAGAGACATCCTATACTACAAAGGCCGCATTGACATGGATAAATATGAGGTAGTAGACATTGAAGATGGCAGAGATGATGACTTTAATGTCAGCATGAAGAATGCCTTTAAACTTCACAACAAGGAGACTGAGGAGGTGCACCTATTCTTTGCCAAGAAGCTGGAGGAGAAGATACGCTGGCTCAGGGCTTTCAGAGAAGAGAGGAAAATGGTACAGGAAGATGAAAAAATTGGTAAGTGACTTCAGAAGAGAACAAAGAATATGGTTATGAAGAACATAGAGGATTGGAAATAGTTTTCATTTCTCTAGAGGCAGAAGGAAGATTATATTGCAAGCTGATTTAATCGACTTTGTTGGTTCCCTACCATTAGGTGCTTTTTGGTAGATACCAGTAGTTTCCCTTAGTTAGGGTTAAGTGAGTTACAGGTCAGCTTCCTCTACAGTCTCATTACTAGATAAAACTATTACATGGAAAGCAAACCTCTGACTCAATTCTTTCAAACATACAGACATTTATCAGCAAAACAACATGAAAGTAGTTATACAGCCTATGCTGTAATCTCAATGCAGTCTCAATTCTAATCTTAGATACATGATGGAATCTTCTGTGAAAGGTTAGTCAAGGCAGATTTGGTAATATAGTGACAGGATTCAGCTAACTTTCTAGTCAGAGTCTGATGACAGAATCCTTTCATGAAGGTCAAGTCATAGCATCTGTTTTCAATTTTAAGCTTTAGGCTTCCTTCTGAAAGGCATAGGCTAAAGGACTTACTGGATTCTTATACCCAGTCTTTGTGAGGGCTAAGGTGCCTGTAAGACATTTGTGGCCACTGCACATCTTGTATAGCATTCACTTTCCCAATGAAAGTTCATTTTTATTTATTTTTTTAAATTTTGTTTTATTGCTTAAAGTATTACAAAGAGTATTACATATGTCTCCTTTTTTTTCTCCCCTTGACCTTCCCCTGGCCTCCCCTACCCCCCAGTGTCTTGTGTCCATTGGTTATGCTTATATGCATGCATACAAGTCCTTCGGTTGATCTCTTATCATTGATGTTTTTATCTATCTCTCTCCCTCTCCCTTCCTCTCTGAAATCACAAATGGTAAGAATTTCTTCTTTTTTACAGCAGCATAGTATTCCATTGTGTAGATGTACCACAGTTTTCTAATCCATTCATCTGCTGATGGGCAAAGTTCATTTTTAAAAAGATATGTTTTTATTGATTTTTAGACAGGGAGGCAGGGAGAGGGAGAGAGGAAAAACTTTAATATAAGAGATAAACAACGATTGGCTGCTTCCTGCACACCCCCTACTGAGGATTAAGCCTGCAACCCCGGCATGTGCCCTGACCGGAAATTGAACCAGCAACCTTTTGGTGCATGGGATGACACTCAACCAACTAAGACACACCAGCTAGGGATGAAAGTTCATTTTTAACATTTGTTAGGCTAATTAGGCTTCATGCATAAGGTGACTAAATGGCTGGTAGTAGTGGCCTCGATAGGAAAGATTTCTGAGTGTTTAATATTGCTAAACATCACCTCTAGAGTGTACATTCCTGATTAGGGCACTTTAAATGCTCATAGAATATAGATTACAATTAATGTAAATGTATATATCATACCCTCTGTATGAAAATATTTTGAAATAAATTAATAAATAGGTTCTAAAATCATAACCACTTGCATGATTTCCATTCACACTAAACCATACTCTTTTGTATGAGAGAGTGTTCCCCTTTTCCACAAATGATATAGCTTGGAGAGATATTTTTTATTCTGCTTCCCAAATGGGATTTACACTCCATTGGAAGTAGTTGTGTGGTTTACAAAGTACTATCAGGTCTCTTGCCCATAGTCATGCATTTCTAATATAAAAATATAAAAATCCAGGCTTTGTAATTCCCTAAAAAATAGTTTCTGTTTTTTCATCACTCCAAATGGGAGTAGAATTGTACTTTAAAATACTTTTACGCTCAAGTTTGTAGAAACTGCCTGTAGAAAAAAGAGCCTACCCACTGAGTTCTGGTACAATTGGATTCTCCTATCCTTAAGTGTAGGGGATTGAAATGGTCCAAAAGCAAGGTAATATAATTAGAAAAACACTGCTTAGTCTTATCCTAGTCTTCTCACGTCTTAGTTAAAATGCATACTGATAATTCACTTTGAGTCCCATTGGTGTCAAATTGCTTTTAGCTTATGGGCACTGATTTGGGGCATGATGTGGAGTGGTACAGAAATGCTACTGGCTTCTTCTCCCAATGGCAGCAGTAGCAGCCTTTGACATTGCATAGGTTGTTAGGGATATTAAAGGAATTTTCTTAGTGTGCTTTCTGAAGCCCCTAGATCAACTTGAATATCTCCTCCATTCTCTATGGTTCAAACACGATGCCTCACGCACAATGTCCTAATGACCTATAACTTTGAGAATCTGCCTCTAATAGAAAAGCTTACAGAAGTTCAATCCTGGCAGGCCAATGTTTGTCTTTTAAAGAGTAAATGTTTGTTTGTTTTCCTGATTATAACTAAACTAGATGCCCAGAGCACGAAATCGTTGTGGTAGAGTCCCTAGACCTAGCCAGCAATCAGGACCATCTTCTGCTCGTTCGCCAGTCCCAGGCTGCCTCCAATGCCGGGGCGGGTGGGTTGTGGGTACACCCCCAGCTTTTGTCAGTGCTGCAAGCCCCAGCAGCAGTGGCAGCAGCAGCAGCAGCAGCAGTGGCACCCGCATGAGCGGCCCCAAGTGGGCAGCGTTTTCCATCAGCAGCCGGCCCAGCACATGCTCATGGAGGTGAAGTCACCAGTGCCCGCTTTCCCACTGGCCTGAGCCCCCTAGAAGCCAGGGATGAGCTGGGGATCCTAATGCCTGACAGCCAGCCCAGTCCTCCCGCCACCCACCCTGATTCCCCCCGTTCACCACTGCTGATCCATCGGATCCTGCAGGCCGGGGGGAGGGACCAAGAGGTCAGCTGTTCTGCCTGCTCGCCAGTCCCCAGTCCCACCCTGCCCTGCCACCACCCACTTGCTTCCCTGTGGTTCCAGGTTCACCTGCAGGTGGGGGTAGGGAGGTGAGGAGGTGGGGGAGGGGAGGGACCGAGATGTGGTCAATGCACTTCATGGCAACTGGTTGAGTGGTCATTCCAGTCGTTACGCTTATGGTCCCTGGCCTTTTATTACACAGGATTACTTTAATTGTAGACTTTCATTTGTAGACCAAATAATAAAATAATTAATTTTAAAAAAGAAACTAAAAACC